GGTTCTACCTTGGAAGGAAATGAGTCGTTTCCACCCATCAGGACAACTGCCACAGCATGGTGTCAACTCACTCTTGCCTTGCGTAAATTGAGTTTGTCACTGCTCAGCCACACAGCTGAGTGAAATGTTGTGTGATGCGGGCTGTCTCCTGGGAGAGAGAAACTGGCATAAACCACATCCTAATGGGATCCAGAAACAAAGAAGCGTGAATGAAGTGTTAATTGCATTCATAAAGACATTAACAAAGGAATTAAAATGGCAGAAGCTTCCGTCCCCCACTCAAGATTTACAGAAAAATATGTTATCCAAAGAACGTTTCAACAATAATCATCAAAGTGTATTGCTTGCCCATTGTGGAAATAACTCTTGATAGATATTAACTTTTCAAAGAACATGTTGTGTCCACTATTTGTGTCCACATCCAGTGCTTTGCTTGCTTTTGTATGATTTAAGTTTCCAAAAAATCCAGAGGCATTTTCAATGTTGCTTCATTAACCATAAGGACGTCTGTTAACAGTTTGAACCTAATCAATCCTACAGTTCTTATTAGAGCAAAATGTTCATTATTTGGGAAATTTTTTTGCTTTTTGAAATAGAATTACAAGACTGAGGGTTTACTTCACAGTCCCTCTTGAATATTCCTGAAATGATGTGCAATGTGGCCAACCCGGGGCTCCCTCCCCAGCCCTGTGGCAGGGCCCCCAGCTGCTGACAGCAGGGCTAAGCTGGCAAAAGGTCAGAGGCTGTATTTCACTGAAGATGGATCACACAGATGAATATTGCGCTTGCTTAATGAAGTCAAGGCCACGGATTTGGGGCCTTTTATGGTTCTTCTTGTTTCACTCAATTTCGCCTTCATAGACCACGCCACTAATCCTGGCCAATCATTCTGTAGATACGTGCAACTGGTGACTAAGGGACTAGATAAAAGCAAATGACTCTAAAAAACAGTGACCAGAAATCAGAAATCTGTGCCTATAACAAACACAGAATTAAAAAAAAAAAGCATTCAGAGTGTCTCATATGATACTTGCAGAAACCATGCGATACGTAGAGCTGACGTTCCTACCCTCATGTTGCAGATAAGAAAGTTAAAGATAAAGAAGCAAAGATATTAAGTAAAGTCTCAGGATTAAAATTCAGGTATTTTTGGTCATCTGACTGCTCTTTCTACTTATTGTTGTCATCTACTTTTTGTCATTTAGTACTCACTGTTGCCGTCTAACCTTCCCAGGATCTCAGTTGATTCTCACAAGAATCCTATGAAGTAAGACAGACTCTATAAACAAGTGGGTCGATTTTTCCAGGAGCTATAGCAATGAAACTAGAGTAGCAGGTGCTCTGAAGCCCATCCTTAGAATTTGGCTGAACCCCTCGGTTATCGAAAACGCTGTATTTTTCAGTCTTGTCTAAATCAATCATATTCATGGATGTGGTATCAACTCAGTGGTGTAGGTTTAAAAGTGACAAAATTCTAGTCAGTTGTATGAATCTGGGCTGATCAATACCAACTGGTGAGTGGAAGGGGGCTCAGAAGTGCACATTCAGCATCTCGGGAAAGCTCACTGCACAGTTATTAGAATCAGCCCAATTGAGACTCTGTTGCTTCTAATTCTGGAGCAAATGCTGGGAACATTTCCTCCCAGACATGAACTATACATTACGTTCCAAGACATCTCGAAACCTGAAATAAAAATGTCTAGGTTATATGCTGTTTTGTATTAGTCGTGCTTAGCCTCATACATGTTAACATACTTTCAAGAGGTGATTATTTTTTATTAGAATACATCATTTATAGTACTTGATGTCAGAAATTTCAAATAATGGCAACTTTACCTCTAGTGTAGACATGCCACCAAGTTGTTCAGAAGTCTAATTCAAACAGCATTTTGAATTAATTATCTAAAGAAGTTAATATTATTTGCATTTACTTATGTTTTTATAATTTTGTGTCCTAATTAGAAGGTCCTATTATGTGCTCCTAAGATGGAAGACTAGTAGTTTTAATCTTACCTATCTATGAATAGGTGTGGGATGCAAGATGTATAATAAATGGAAAAAAAAATCAAAGTAAGCAGTTGGCCAGTTACATATTCAATCTAGACAACTGAGGTTAAAGCCTTACTTTTTCATCAATAGCCTAAGGGCTGAAAATTCATTCATTATATTTTCGTCAAAATAAAGAGAATTAGTTTATGCTCCTAAGTCAGAGTTGTGTCCTTATCATAGGGTGATTATTTTCTATTTCCATTTGTAAAATCAAAATGGAGGCTGGGTGCAGAGGCTCAGGCCTGTAATCCTAGCACTTTGGGAGGTGGGCAGGTTACCTGAGGTCAGGAGTTCGAGATCAGCCTGGCCAACATGGTGAAAGCCCATCTCTACTAAAAATACAAAAATTAGCTGGGCATGGTGGCGTGCACCTATAATCCCAGCTGCTCGGGAGGCTGAGGCAGTCAAATTGCTTGAATCGGGGAGGCAGAGGTTGCAGTGAACAGAGATCTCACCACTGCACTCCAGCCTGGGTGACAGAGCAAGATTCTTGATCTTTTTATGAAAAAATAAAAAATAAAAAAAAATCAAGATGGATGAGGTTATTTTCTAGGGCTCCACTGTCCATTATGGTAGCTACTAGACATATGTGGCTATTTAAATTAAAATTATGTAATCAAAATTAAGTGAAATTAAAAATCCAGTTCCACATTTTAAATCCTCAATAGCCATGGGGTTAGTGGCTATTGTATTGGACCATGCAAATTTTAGAATATTTTTGTCACTGCAGAATGTTCTATTAACAGTGCTGTTCTAGAGCAAACAATCGGAATTCACATATACCACAGAAATACATTCTAGATCTAATCACATAGTTGTTTGTAAAACACCATACACAGTTTAGTGACAGTGACTTGGAACACCAGCCTGCTGGTGCCTGGGCATCAAGGAAGGATGGTCTGCAGACTTCTGAGTGTGGACTGGCCCTGTGTGTCATGGGAAGGCATGGGGAGCCAAGTCTCTGGAGAAAGGGCAGGTGCAGATGAGCCATTTCCATTTTCCACTCCTGCAGGTCCCACAACCTCAAGTCCACACCTGCCGCCAAGACGTGCTTGTACAAAAGCCCAAACCAAAGCACATTTTGGATTAATTTTCTGGCCGTAATTTTGTTGCAAAATCTCTCTTGTGCCTTTGATTACGGACTTTCTTTCATTTTTGCCATGAATTTCAATGACTCTGAACCTAACGGTATTTCCCACCAACCAGAACAATAGCACTGGTATTGACAAAAGAAATAAGGCTTCAGACAGGCAAGAATCATAACAGAGACTGAAAAATAGAGTCCAGAGCTCCCTGCTGATCACTTTAAGTGAATGTCATTGGCTCATTCTCATTGACAGTCAGCAAGTGAACATATCCGCAGACTAAGGTAAGGTGGGAAAAGTGGGACCATTCTTCAGTATTTGTCATATTAGCCACTTTAAACTTGTAAAAACTGAAAAGTAATAAATCACCAATCATCCTCTGTTCTCTGATGTATCTCACTAGGACTGCTATATTAAGAAAGAGACTGTGGCAGTATGTTTTCACAAGATTGCTCAAAGTTATCAGCAGCAAGCACATGAGATATATAACTCTCATTGCTTTTATCACATAATTCTTCAAAGTGGCCTTATTGGGCACACGTTTTATTTTCTTCGTAGACTAAATCCCTTGAAACTGCTAATTATGCATATTTGTATCCCAGAGTATCTTATACAGTGGAAGGTGCTCCGAATTTTGGTTCAACCTTATCAATATTCATTGAACAAATGAATGAATGAATGCATAAAGGAGATCCCTGATAACAAATTTGTCTAGCCTAAATTATGTTAAGTTTTGGCTGATAGGTATAGAAGAGTGGGAGGAGGGGAGAGGTGCAAAATTTGAGAAGAAACATAAATTGTGAGCTCATTAAAAAGATATCATTTCAAAATTTCCTTTGAATCTCTATAGGGACATGTTGAAAGAGGAAATATTTTAAGGGCAATTGTGAATTTCAATTACTGGAGCAGAGGATCAGAGAAGAGCTGCATCCAATCTATTGTCTTTCGAAAGAATTTCTTTGCTGATGTTCTTCCTGGAAGTAGGATATGCAAAAATATCGTATTAATTTATAGCATATAATTTTGTATTAATAGCCAAGTGGCACGATAACGGAATCGACATTGAAAATAGGATGAAAATAGGATGAATTGAACTGAAGCCCATATACTTTTCCACAAACTTGAATTAAAATAGATCCCAAAACTAAAGTGACCTCTTTGTAATAATCCTCATATTTCAAATCATCCCTGATAAGTCAGCATCCAACCCAATCTTCAATATTTCCAAGTAAAGAGAACCACAGGGGTATGTTAAAGGCCGTAAAAGGGAGTTTCAGCAAATATTTCTAACATCTTTTGTGTTTCAACAATGCCGGTCACCAACTTAAGCAAGTTTTTTGATGTAACTTTCTAGGTCATGTATCTTTAAATCACCATGACTCGTATTTGTCTCTGTTCCAACTGTTTTCTGGTGTCTCTCTTGCTGAAACGGTTTCAATTAGATCCTGGAAAGGTTTGATACAGAACTCTTGTGCAGTGCTTGCCAACAAGGGAATTGGTTTTAAACATTGCTGTTTTTCATCCAGAAAAAAATTTCCCCTTCCCCGCCCTTGAGTTAGAAGAGATTATTCTCAGACAGGCGTTTAGCTGATTTTTAATGTCAAAGAAACTTAATTTGCAAACTCGTTAGAAACTCTTTAGTAAAAGCTGCCTAGTAAAACAGATGATTAATATTGGTAAGCTCCTCATTTGCATATTAATTAGTCTCCACACTCAACTAATTAAAACTGCACTGCCTATTTGTGGACTTTCTTCTAGACTAGAGCCTTGTTCCTATGTATAAGCTTGTATTTTAACTAAAATAAAGGTTAGTAATTATGACTGTACTTTTCTTAACATACCGATTTTTCCATCTGTGATACTTAGGACTCCTCAAGGTCCTAGAACCATCCAGAAACCACCTTTGCACAAATTGTAATGGTGAGAAGACTATGACACAGGAAAATTATGACAGCAAAAGAAATCCGTCTCAACCTACTCCATCTTGTTTTCCACCTCCAAGCTCTCCTTGTTCATTCCAGGGCATAGGCCGAGCTGACTATAAAAGGAATTTAGTTTATAGTTTAACTTTGAAACAAAGACAATAGTCCCTTCCCCAAACAAAAAAAACGAACCCCCTTCTTGCCTGGGAACCAGCCCGCCTTTGTAAAATTAACAAATTAGCCACAATATTAGAAATTATGGCTCAGGGGTCATGCAACCAGAAGCCACAAGGTTCTAAACTCCTTGATATGGTTTGTATCTGTGTTCCCACTCAAATCTCCTGTCAAATTGTAATCCCCAATGATGGAGGTGTAGCTTGGTGGAAGGCGATTGGATCATGGGGGTGGATTTCCCATGAATGATTTACCATGATCTCTTTGGTGCTGCTCTTATGATGGTGAGTTCTCTTCTCGTGAGATCTGGCTGTTTAAAAGTGTATGTTACCTCCCCCTACCCCTGTCCCTGACTCTCTCTTGTTTCTGCTTCTGCCATATGAGATGGCTGGTACCCTTTTGCCTTCAGCTATGATTGGGAGCTTTCTGAGGCCTCCCCAAAAGCAGAAGCCACAATGTTTCCTGTACAGCCTGCAGAACCATGAGCCCATTAAACCTCTTTTCTTCATAAATTACCCAGTCTCAGGTACTTTGTTAGAGCAATGAGAGAACAGACAAATACATTCCCCAATTGCTTCTATGAATAACATCAATATTGTAAAACCTAAGATTGGTATTTGAGGTATTTTTCAGACCCTGCATTCTGATGAACCAACTGGCACCACCCAGACTGGTAAACTGGCCCAACAGGTTCTGCAATCTCACCCAGAAACTGAAGACAGCAAGAAGAACCTACTTTGATCCCCTGCTCCTTAGCACACTGCCCACCAAATTACCCTTTAAAAACCCTAGTCTCCAAATTTTGGGGGAGACAGATTTAATTAATACTCTGGTCTTCTGTTTAGCCAGCTCTTCATTTATTAAACTATTTCTCTATTGTAATAACTCTGTCTCAGTTAATTGGCTCTATCTGTGCAACTGCTCAACAGGCGAGAACGACTGTGAGGGCGGTTATAACCTCTAAGCAGTCATTTCGTTGGCCCAAATCACTTTTGTCCCAGTATAGCCCTGTGTTGCTTAATGAATGATGTGGATATGTTTTGAGAAATGTATCGTTAGGTGATTTTGTCACTGTTTGACATCATACAGTGTACTACACACCTAAGCTATATGATTTAGCTCATTCCTCTTGGGCTACAAACCTGTACAGTACATTACAGCACTGAGTACTGTAGGCAATTGTAACACAGTGGTAAGATTGGTGTATCTAAAGTATCTAAATACAGAAAAAGTACAGTAAAAATACAGCATTTATAATCTTATGGGACCATCATCAGAGATGTGGTCTGTTGGTGACTGAAATTTTGCTGTGCAGCACATGACTATATTTGTGAGGTTCTTCAGGTTTGGATGCAAAGAAAACAGCTGGATGATCCAGTGACTGGTAATAATTAAAGTGGAAAAGGTACCAAACTGTATATCAATATTTAGTGTTTTTAAGTCTTGCTCTATAAATAAATGTCTCTTTCCAGTATAATTTTTTATATTTAATCTTAGCTACTTTAAAACTATTTAACTATTTAATCATTATTTTACTATTTAATTTTCAGTAAAGAATTATCAGGGGCGGGAAAGCAGGCTAATTTGTTGTTAAAAATCATGCTTGCAGAAAACCTAGCTGTTTGGATCACAAGACCCCAGCTTTTGTTGAGAATGAATTTCCACTGTAGACAAAACAAAACCAGCTAAATTAAAAAAATAAAAAATACCTATGAAAGGCCAGGTACTGTGGCTCACGCCTGTAATCCCACCACTTTGGGAGGCAAAGGTGGGCGGATCATGAGGTCAGGAGTTCAAGACCAGCCTGGCCAACATGGTAAAATTCTGTCTCTACAAAAAATACAAAAATCAGCTGGGTGTGGTGGTGGGCATCTGTAGTCCCAGCTACTTGGGAGGCTGAGGCAGGAGAATCACTTGAACCTGGGAGGCAGAGGTTGCAGTGAGCTGAGATCACACCACTGCACTCTAATCTGGGCCACAGAGTGAAACTCTGTCTCAAAACAAACAAACAAAAACCTATGAAAAGAAATGAGCTTTAAGTACAGAGTCCCCAAATGAGATTCAGGAGAAATTATATCAGTCCAATAACTGAGTGACATTGACCAAATTGCTGAATTTCTCTTTCATCTATTACAACAGAAAATAAGTATGCACTGAGTATCTGCATCAGACATTTTCCTGTGATGCCCTCTCCCCAAATCGAGTAAGGTGCCACTGTTAGATTCTTCCATAGCCCCCAGTGTTTACCCTTCTAATATCCTGTATCTCATGGTACTAAAGTCGTATATCTTTTTTGTTCATACTCCTTAGTGGATGTTTCTCCACAGCACAGTCTCTGTCTTGTGTATCATTATATCTCCCGGTGCTTAGCATTATCACAGGCATTATATATCCCAGTGCCTGTGATATCTAAATGATTGCCAAATAAATGAATGAGTAAACAAATATATTAATACATGGATAAAAAATAAATAAGGCATGTGTTTTAGTTATTTATGACTGTATAACACAAAGCTCCAAAACTTAGAGACTAAAAACAGTAATTTACTATTTCTTGTGATTCTGTGAGTTACCTGGGAAGCTCTTCTGCTGTTTCACCTGAGCTCATTCATGGTGCTGCATTTAGCTGGGGGATTTCCAGGGGGTTGAGCTCTGATGAGCCAGCTGAGGATCTGGACCTTTCTCTCCGAATCTCCTTCATCTGCAAGTTGGCTCCTTGGACTTCTTAACATGGTGGGAGCAGTGTACCAATGCACAAACACTTACTGAACTCACATCATGCTTGTTGACATCTCTTTGGCCAAGGCAAATCGTTTAGCCAAGCCTAAAATGTGGGAAGAAATTACACATGGGTATGAATACTGTATTTGGGAGACCCTGAGTGTAACGTCTCTATCTTAAGGGATTT